CTATCTCTCTATTTTGAGACAGAGTCTCACTTTGTTGCCCTCGGTAGAGTGCCACAGTGTCATGGCTCACAGCAACCTAACTCCTGGGCTCAAGTGATTCTTTTGCCTCAGCCTCCCAAGTAGCTGGGACTACAGGTTAACACCACAATGCCCAGCTATATTTTTAGAGGCGGGGTCTCACTGTGACTCAGGCTGGTCTTGAACCTGTGAGTTCAGGCAATCCACCTGCCTCAGCCTCCCAGAGTGCTAGGATTTCAGGCGTGAGCCACCATGCCCACCCCTTATTTTCATTTGTTGAGATGGAGTCTCACTCTGTGGCCCAGGCAAGAGTGCCACAGCATCAACCTAGCTCAAAACAACCTAAAACTCCTGGGTTCAAGCAATCCTACTGCCTCAGCCTTCCAAATAGCTGGGACAACAGGCACCCGCCACAGTGCTGGGTAATTTTTCCTACTTTTAGTAGAGATGGAAGTCTCATTCTTGCTCAGGCTGATCTTGAACTCCTGAGCTCAAGTGATCCATCCTCATTGGCCTCCCATAGTGGTAGGATTACAGGCACGAACCATTGTGCCCAGTCTAGAACCAACATCTTGAAAGTCGATCCTTGAAGATAAATTCCAAATTCATCCCTTTTTGTAAGAGCTGGTTCCTGCCTTCCCAAAGCTTTTATTTTGTTTTGTTTCATTTCATTTTATTTTGAGACGGAGTTTCACTTTGTCACCCTCAGTAGAGTGCCATGGCATCACAGCTCATAGCAACCTCAACTCTTGGGCTCAAGTGATTCTCTTGCCTCAGCCTCCTGTGTAGCTGGGACTACAGGCACTCACCACAGTGCCTAGTTATTTTTAGAAATGGGGTCTCGCTCTTGCTCAGGCTGGTCTCAAACTTCTGACCTCAAGCAATCTACCTTCCTCAGCTTCCCAAAGCTTTGCTTTGCTTTTTTTTTGGAGACAAAGTCTCACTATGCCACCCTCAGTGGAGCGTGGTGGCGTCACATCTCGCAGCAACCTCAAACTCTTGGACTTAAGCAATTCTTTTGCCTCAGCCTCCCAAGTAGCTGGGACTACAGGCACCTGCCACAATGCCCGGCTATTTTTTTGTTGCAGTTGTCACTGTTGAGCCGGCCCTGGCCAGGTTCGAACCTGCCAGCCTTGGTGTATGTGGCTGGCGCCCTAACCACTGTGCTACAGGCGCTGAGCCTGCTTCCCAAAGCTTTTAATCAAGCAAAGGGCTTAAGATATGGCCATAAATTGTCCAAGAGATGAAAGAAAAAGTTTAAGCATCCTGAGTAAACTACATTACATGTGTGCCTGGTACAGGACCGCCTTGTAAGAGTCCTGATTATTGTGTAAAAACTCTCCAACGACCATCACAACACATGTCTGTGAAAGTGTGCTCTGGTGCCACAAGGGTCCCTCACAAGATACACTGTAAAGACTGTGAGGTGTACGAGTTAAGAGAGAGAGCTACGGAGCCGAACTGTAAGGTCTGAATCCCAGCCCCGCCACAGACCGGCTGTGAGACCTTGGTCAAGTCACTTAACCTTAGTTCCTCACCTATACCATGGGATGATAATCGTACTGGACTCATAACAATTGTAAGTCAAGTGAATGACTTAATACAGAGAATACACTTAGGCCACCACTTGGAATGCAGCCACATCTCTGACTGCCCTAGAATCTCCATGTGAGGAAAAAAAAGTGACTGTGTTAATTGCTTATTGATTTAATGGTAGCAATGAAACTATATACTAAAAGTTTAGCAATTCCCCTGAGGTGACAGAGAGGCATCTGTGTGTTTCCTATTCAACCGCTGAGCCTGAACCCCTAAAGTGAAACAGTGAGGGATTTTCCAGGAAATTTTGACTCATGAATCTAGAAAGGATCTGAGACCCACACTGTTGGACCCTTATGCAGATGAGAAAATTAAGAGGGGTTGGGAGTATGGATGGGAATGGCCAGGGTGCCACAACCTAGTAACACAGCATGCAGATGGTCCCTTGACTCTTGGCTCGCTGCTCTTCCCACAACAGGTGTGGACTAGATTGGAACTGATTATTAAATACTCTTGACTTTGTAGTCACCCTGAAGGCACTTTATGGAGAATGTATTCATTCAATAAATGCACTTCGTGTTTCTACTATGGCAGAAACTATACTGGTTGCTGGGGATAAAATCATGAGCAACAGAGAGCTGATTCCCATGCTTCTGAAGATCCTGCTGCCCTGGGGCAGGCAGACCTCAGTCAAATTATCACACAAATAGATGCCAATGGCAAGTATAAAAGCCTACAAAGAATTACGAGCATATTTAAGGGAAGAATTTGACCCATCAGAAGAGGTGGGGAAAGGTTTCCCTTAGGGAATGACACTTAATACCTAAATCTCAGGGGTAAGTAGAGTAACTAGTTGGGGAAGTTTGAGAGAAGGAAAAAAAAGATGAGTGTTATAGACAAGGTGACCAGCAAAATTCTGCAGCAGGTGGGAGAATGGAAGACCAGGATGGCTGCAGCCGGGGGAAGTGAGGGGCATGGAGGTTACAGAGAGGAAGAAGCCAGAGAAGTAGGCAGGGATCAGGCCAATGCAGGCCTTGAAATAAGAAGGCCTGAATTAAACCCTATTCGAAGGGTTTAATCAGGAGGATGCCATAATCAAACTTGCTTTTCAAAAGATTAGCCTGCTGTAGGGTGCTGACTGAAGGGGACCAAGTTCAGACATTGGGAAACGACCTGGGGGTGGCAGCGTACACAGAGAAGTATAGACAGATTCAAGACATAAAAGCAGGAAAATTCCTAGGATACAGGAGACAGATGAGATCAGAGGTCTGAGGAGAGGATGACATTTGAGGTGTCTGGTTCACTCCAGGGGGCCCTAATATTCTTGGCACCAGGGACAGGTTTCATGGAAGATAATTTTTCCATAGATGGGGGTTTCACAAGCAGGTATGGGACAGGAGGGAGAGTGCAGGTGGTGATGTGAGCCGTGGGGAGCAGCTGTAAAACCAGATAAAGCTTCACTCCCGCATCCTGTGAGGCCCGTTCCTAACAGGCCAGTGGTCTGCAGCCTGGGGACTGGGGACTTCAGGTTTACAGAATAAGATAACTTGGACGGGGGTCATTGGCTGGTACCAAAAAAGGACTCGGGTTCGGCAGAGGGGGGAGTAGTGGGAAAAGGAGTACTAACAACAGTACTAAACTTGGGGAGATTATTACAAAGACTCCAAACATTTCATTTAGGTTTTTCTGTATTTTATTATGGCACACAGGATACAGGATGGTACAGTGTTCTTACTTCAACCAAGTAATTCTCGAATCAACCAGCTGTTCCCATTTGGCTAAAGGTACTTGTACATGGAGTTTACCTCTCTCGGAAATTCGCCATGTGTGTTATCCTACATCCAAGGAACAAAAAGAAAAGCTTGATTCTGAGTAGACTCTTAATCTTGACAGAAGCCAATACAGACTGAGCCTCCCTTCATAATTCAAATCCATATCATCTTGGTAGATAAAGAAATATTTTACCTATTTGCATAGTGACATATATTTAGCTAGAAATAGGTTGGGTGGGGGGATCAAATAACGTTAAACAGAGACCACTTTGGTTTCAGGTTAAATTCATAACTTACAAAGGTCATCTCAAAAGCTAGTATTAAATGAAGTTGCTTGACAAAGCCATTGTTTACACACAGAAGCAGAGTAACAGTCAATTAAGGCCATCTATATTCCCCATCAAATACAATAGCAAGCGCGTTCGTAACTTTACAATGGACAGGGAGGACAGATGGGGTGTGTATTCGATGCAATGTTTAACCAGTTAAGCTATCACTGAACTCCAAATGTTTCCCCATAAAGACATGCAGGGCCATGCCAATGTAACATACAAGTATATTATCTCCCCCCTTAAGTGACTGATCATAATTGTATTACCTGTGCCTGTAGTTTTTTAAACGTTGAAAAATGTGTGGCATTAAATGCTAGTTACTTGATTCAATAGAATGAAGCGAACAACACACTGAATCATGAGCTCAGGATTGCTGGCAACATGCTCCCAGTGGAGTGGCAAACAGCCTTTGGTAGCCTTAACTCTCTCCTCTGAAAATTATACACGGATAACAAAATGATTCCTCCTGATTATATCATGTGCTCAGGTTTTCACCTTTGCCCATGATAATTAGACTATATTTTAAAATGTGGCTTTAGAGATATCTGGGTTTCATAAGACCTTCCTATTGTATTAGTACCTGCTAGTTTGAATTAACAACTACTTCCCATAAAGGGTATATCTGTCAAGTACTTTCAGAATTGGTTCTACGACGCCATCCTACAACCTAACATTGTACATTTTAGGGGACAGAGTATATTGTTACTTATAGAGTTTCTCATTTACTTGTATTTATTATCAAATTCTTGAGAGAGAAGATTTCATAGTCACGACCTAACTATATCCCTCAGAATTGCCACTTAAGTGGAGGGGGGGAAAGTATTGTAACTGTTAAAATTTTGACTTTTTAAAAAAATGGAGGTCAATAGAGCCCCCTGTAGATAGTTTATATTTGCACCATCCTTAAGGTATTTTCATTAAGTCAACAACCACAGCAAGAAATCCATCATTCAGTGTAACTTTATTTACTATTTATTGCACATAACTTGAGATCTTTCATTTTTAACCACCACAGGGTCAAAGGACTATTTCTCCACGAGGTTGGATAGTAACATTAGTGAATTCGTGTATTCGTGGTGTTTTTTATTTGTAAACATCTGAATGGTTCACATTGCCATAGATCCTGAACTCATAAGCGTGGACCATGCACAGGCTGGCAGCAAGCCAGAGAGCCACTCGGCAAGCAAACAAATACTCTGCATTAAGAGAAAATTCATAGCACAACATTGAATGTCCAACCTAAGTCATCTCGGAATTATACATTAGATTGACATTTTAATTCACATGGGATCTGGAACTCAACTGGTTGGTTGGTGATGGGGTTGACCTGATTTCAGGAGCATTATTCCTGGAACAGTTAAGGAAAAAG